GTTCCGATGACCCGCTCGGATTACCAACATGATCTGCGGGCCCCATAGGGAGGGGGCTCCCGCCTGAGACTTCCTCACAATTCACTCACAGACGAGGCTCCCGCCTGAGACTTCCTCCATATTCAGGCTTGACGAGCCCAAAAGTGACGACAGTTACAGGGTTCCGATGACCCGCTCGGATTACCAACATGATCTGCGGGCCCCATAGGGAGGGAACTCCCGCCTGAGACTTCCTCCCAATTCACTCACAGACGAGGCTCCCGCCTGAGACTTCCTCCATTTTCAGGCCTGGGGAGCCCAAAAGTGACGACAGTTACAGGGTTCCGATGACCCGCTCGGATTACCAACATGATCTGCGGGCCCCATAGGGAGGGGGCTCCCGCCTGAGACTTCCTCACAATTTACTCAACGATGATGAGGATGAGGATGATGAGTGGTGGTGAAGATGAGTGGTGAAGAGGATGATGATTGATTGTGAGTGGTGGTGGCGATGATGATGTTTGAATGAGGATGATGCCGATGCCGATGATGATGATGATGATGATGATGATGATGATGATGATGATGTTCGTGAGCGTGTGAGAGAGTGCGAGTGATGATGATGATGATGAGTATGTGAGTGACTAAGCATGTGAGAGAGCATCATCGATGATGCTGATGAGGTTGATGATGAGAGAGTGCGAGTGAGTGTGAGTGTGTGTGTGTGTGTGTTCCTGTTCCTGCGCGGGGTGTCCAGAGAAAACAAGAACCCCACTTTGGATGTGGGGAAAAACAACCTACGTTTCCATCTTACTGGGCGACAGTCACATTGGTGTTCATGTGTGTGTGTCCAACTAGTCTTTCCAATTGCGCCACATGGGTCATCACTTGCGTGGTATTCGTTTCGAGCAGTTTCTCGCGTCTGGTGATGTTCGATCACGTTTCGTTCTGAGTCCAGAATCCGCCGGCCCCCTTGTGGGGCCACCAGGCTGTAGGCGCGGGTTCGCAGTTTCCACTACCAGTTGCAGCTTGTAGTTTCCAGTGTTACAGTTCTGCTTCTTGCTGGTTACTGTAACTAGTTGATTGACCGCGCGAGGGGGGGGGAGGCCCAAACGAGACTTTTAGCACCCCCTGGGCGCGTTGTCTGAATTGCTGGGGGGGCTCGAAATCGACACCCCTCACGCAGACCCGCGGTCAGGGTCCAAAAACGAAGGGGATTTGCCACATTCCTGAAATTCGGTGCCACCCCTCACGCAGATCCGCGGGGTCAGGGTCCAACAACACAAGGGATTTGCCACATTTCTGAAATTCGGTGCCACCCCTCACGCAGATCCGCGGGGTCAGGGTCCAAAAACAAAGGGGATTTGCCATATTTCTAAAATTCGGCGCCGATCCTCAGCCAGATCCGCGGGGTCAGGGTCCAAAAACGCATGGGATTTGTTAGATTTCTGAAAATTCGGCGCCACCCCTCACGCAGATCCGCGGGGTCAGGGTCCAAAAACACCGGGGATTTGCCACATTTCTGAAATTCGGCGCCACCCCTCACGCAGATCCGCGGGGTCAGGGTCCAAAAAGCATCAGGGATTTGCCACATTTCTGAAATTCGGTGCCACCCCTCACGCAGATCCGCGGGGTCAGGATCCAAAAACACCGGGGATTTGCCACATTTCTGAAATTCGGCGCCACCCCTCACGCAGATCCGCGGGGTCAGGGTCCAAAGACACAGGGGATTTGCCACATGTCTGGAATTCGGTGCCACCCCTCACGCAGATCCGCGGGGTCAGGGTCCAAAAACACATGGGATTTGCCACATTTCTGAAATTCGGTGCCACCCCTCACGCAGATCCGCGGGGTCAGGGTCCAAAAACACATGGGATTTGCCACATTTCTGAAATTCGGTGCCACCCCTCACGCAGATCCGCGGGGTCAGGGTCCAAAAACACAGGGGATTTGCCACATTTCTGAAATTCGGTGCCACCCCTCACGCAGATCCGCGGGGTCAGGGTCCAAAAACACAGGGGATTTGCAACATTTATGAAATTCGGTGCCACCCCTCATGCAGATCCGCGGGGCCAGGGTCCAAAAACACAGGAGATTTGCAACATTTCTGAAATTCGGTGCCACCCCTCACGGACATCCATCGCAAGGCGTGGTGACCCAAACTGCGAGTACTCCCTCGGCCCTTAAATCCCAAGGTGTGGTAACCAAGCTCGTAAACCATACGCGTCTTACCAATCGCCCTGTGTGGTAACCCCTCTTGTGATCAGTTGGTTTTGCCGATTGCGAATCGGCCTCGCATGAAGTTCCGATGCTGCTGCACGACAGCGCCAAAGCCTCATGACTTAGCTCTTCCATGGCCCATTCTCCGAGAGAGGGGGCCGGCGGCAAGGGGCGAAGCCCTTACGGATATATCCGTTCGTGACATCGCGCGTTCGCTGAACAACTTTTGGTTGCCCGTGCGCTCTTGCTGTTCATCGCGTCGCGGTTCGCTTGCATGCCACCCTGACGAACTACTTACGCAGGACGAAAGATTTTCCTCTTGAGGTGAAAATGGCCATGAGGAGTTCGCGAGACAACGTCGGCGCCGCCGAACGGACGGCGACCGGACGAGCTGTTTGCAGCAATTGGAGGGGGAGGGATGTATGTATTCATGTTGACTGGGGCCCGCTCGCGCGGGGATTTGATGGGAGTGCGCGAGACGACACAGGGCCCATCGTGGAAAGTTGATTACCGAACCCCTCGTCCCCCCATAGAATCTTAACACGGGCGGTTTGCGGGGGTCCGCGGATCCGATTTCTTCCGGTCCCCTGGTTTAATTTAGTAATATAAACTTAAAACAAGGTAAAAATCGGATCCGCCGCCAAAAATAAGACCAGACACGGATCCAGCGAATCTGAAATCGGATCCGTGCGGACGGAAATCGGATCCACCGAAACAAACACCAAAGCCACATTTGGATCCGCGCGAACTTCATGAGATCCGACGGCGGTTACCGCATACGGGTCTGTTCAAGACTTGACACCGTCGTTCCGGGCCCAAGAGGAAAAACTTTCGTCCTGGAGATGAGCGTTTTGGCCTTCGGAGTCGTTGGTTACCATCTAGCCGACACACCACACCTCACAGGCAATCCGTTGTTGGTAACAACATAGCCGACACACCACATCAAGAGGACAAAACTTTCGTCATGGGGATGGGCGTGTTGGCCTTCGAACTCGTTGGTTACCATATAACCGACACACCACATTTCACAGGCAGTCCGTTGTTGGTAACAAAAATAGCTGACACACCACATCTCGCATGCAGTCCGTTGTTGGTTACCACACAGCCGACACCGCATCTCACAGGCAGTCCGTTGGGTGAGGAGACGCACGGCCGAAACGCATTTACGCAGGACGAAAGATTTTCCTCTTGAGGTGAAAGTGGCCATGAGGAGTTCGCGAGACAACGTCAGCGCCGCCGAACGGACGGCGACCGATGTATGTATTCATGTTGACTGGGGCCCGCTCGCGCGGGGATTTGATGGGAGTGCGCGAGACGACACAGGGCCCATCGTGGAAAGTTGATGACCGAACCCCTCGTCCCCCCATAGAATCTTAACACGGGCGGTTTGCGGGGGTCCGCGGATCCGATGTCTTCCGGCCCCCTGGTTTAATTTAGTAATATAAATTTAAAACAAGGTAAAAATCGGATCCGCCGCCAAAAATAAGACCAGACACGGATCCAGCGAATGTGAAATGGGATCCGTGCGGACGGAAATCGGATCCACCGAAACAAACACCCAAACCACATCTGGATCCGCGCGAACTTCATGAGATCCAGCGGCGGTTATCGCATACGGGTCTGTTCAAGACTTGACGCCGTCGTTCCGGGCCCAAGAGGAAAAACTTTCGTCCTGGAGATGTATAGCCACTTTGGTTGTTCGCAGCAGGGCAATTAAATCTGACATTCGTCACCCCATCCTTGTCGCGATGCAAAGTTGCTGTGCCTGCTCGCGCTGCCTCGCTACACTACGATGCAAACTTACCAAAACGATTTTGACGATAATGGTGCATGGTTTTACACTAGGCGGTGCATACTGGAAGTGCACATCAACACACGCAGACACGCGCACATTCACTCACACACAACGCGCACTCACCACAGATACGCACACACACCGCCTGACGGCGGTTACGGTTCTGCGGCTGGGCGCCGTCGGTTGCACAGCGACCTGGCGTCCAGATTACAGATTACAGAAGCGACAGTGGTCAGCGTGCAAGCACACTGGCCACTAAAGAAAAAAAGAAGAAAAGGGACATCCACCTTGGATCATCCTGCTGCTGCTGCTGCTGCTGCCCCCTCCCCCGAGAAAACCCGCCTAGCCCTTCGGCAACGACTGAACCAGGAAGGTGTCGTCGCACCTCCTCCTCCTCTTCCTCCTCCTCCTCCTCCTCCTCCTCCTCCTCCTCCTCCTCCTCCCGTCATGCGGTCATCACGCGTGCCTCCTGCGGGAGATCGCCCGGTCGTGCTCGCGCATCCCCCCGCCCACAAAAAGGGGGGGCGCCGGACCGCCGTGCCGTGCGCGCCGCCCGGCCCCCGTGCTTTTTCCGCAGCCGCCCCGTGCGGGCCGCACGGCGCAGGTCCCGAGCGCACGACTCGGCGAAGGGGGCCATGGGAACTGGGGCTCCCGACTTCGCGTGTCGCGCTCCGCGAAGCGCGACGCGCGAAAAACTTCGCGCTCTCGCGCCGCCCCCCCCCGAAAGGAAAAAGAGGCAGGACGAGGAGGAGGGGGAGGAGGAACGAGGACCGCGAAGCGCGAGTAACTCCGCGCCCTCGTGGGAGCCCTTGGGGAAAGGGCTGGGGGGGAGAGGATGTCCGATGTGGCGCGGAATTGCCTGGCTTGACCAGCGTTTCTCCATCTCGTGGTTCTCTCCCTCCCTCCGCCTCTCCTTCCCTTCCTGCGTCTCTGTCTGTCTTTCCCTTCCTTCTACCTTCATCCCTGGCTATTCCAGAGCCCTCGGTTCCAGCGACACGTGGGCTGCCTGGGCCAGCTTCTTGAACTCTTCTTTGAGGGCTTCTCCTGACAAGCCGTTCAACTGTCCGAGGAGCTTGTTGAGTTCCTACACGACATGCGTTCATCCAAAAAGAGGGGGGTGATGTGCGGGAGGGAGATGGTGAAAACGACGAGCGATTGAGAAGTTCGTTCGCACACTGTCTTGATGACACCTGACCGTCGTTCAAAATGTCTAACCTCAGCAATACGCACCACCAAAATGTGGCACATAACTACGGGAAACAACTACGTGACGTCAACACATATTCGAGCATCAATCCCATCGCAACGGTATTCAATTAACCGTGGTCTTTGCAAGCTTGGGGCCCATACTCTTAAACTCATCACGCCCAAGCTGCTGCCGAGCGGTCACGCGCTTCTCCTCAAGCGGCGTTTGCTGGGAGCCATGCGATCACACTCTCCGCACTCCTTGATAGCATCATCCAACCCCGCGGCCTTGGCTCGAAGAGGATCCTCGGCGGCGTCACCGTACGTTGTTGAGACTGCTGGGAGGACGGGCTTATGCGTAGCACTTGCAGATTCCATTATATTGTGAGTGTGTGCGGGCAACACAACCCAACATACATCCTTCCTCAACATACTGACCACGATGAATGACTTTGAACCTCGGCTCCGACCTTGCATCGCAATGCAAATGCGCAATTCAAGGACAACCCACAAGCCTGATACCCCATGGCGGGACGTTGGGTCCAAACCCTCAGAGTCGATGGCGCGAATTTGGGAATGTGGGACCCTATGGCGGGTAACCACCGCGTCGACAGCGCCCAAGGCTCTCAAACAAGAGATGGAACACGAACACATCAAGCAACACATGTAGACCAAGAAAAAACAACATCAACATAAATTGTTGGCGTTCCGCGCGGATTTCTTGGGTCGAAACGCGCCAGGAGCGGAGCTGGAGGCGCCGCTGGGGGGCTCCAACTCTGATCCAAGAAATCCGCGCGGATCGCAAGACAAGCTTTTGCGTACGTTGTTATTCCCAACCTTCTTTGGTTGGGTATTCGTTTTGAATAGAACACTGCTCGCGCGTCCTCCTCCCGCTTCCCGCCTCCCGCCTCCTGCCTCCCGCCCCCCTCATTATTGTCTCCTCTTGCCTTGCCTGGGGGGCTGCGATCTGCAAAACTGTCGCCACTTTCGAGGGCTGCTGGTGGGTCCGGCGGTGTGAGACACCGCGCGGGTCTGAACGGAACCTCCCCGTCCCTGGGGGGCTGCGATCTGCAAAATTGTCGCCACTTTCGAGGCCTGCTTGTTGGTCCGGCGGGGTGAGGCACCGCGCGGATCTGAGCGGGACCTCCCCGTCCCTGGGGGACTGCGATCTGCGAAATTGTCGCCACTTTCGAAGGCTGCTGGTGGCTCCAGCGGAATGAGTCACCGCGCGGATCTGAGAGGGACCTCCCCGTCCCTGCGGGGCTGCGATCTGCGAAACCGTCGCCACTTTCGAGGCCTGCTGGTGGCTCCAGCGGAGTGGGGCACCGCGCGGATCTGAGCGGGACGTCCGCGTCCCTGGGGGACTGCGATCTGCGAAATTGTCGCCACTTCCAAGGGCTGCTGGTGGGTCCGGCGGAGTAAGTCACCGCGCGGATCTGAGCGGGACCTCCCCGTCCCTGGGGGGCTGCGATCTACGAAACTGTCGCCACTTTCGAGGGCTGCTGCTGGGTCCAGCCGAGTGAGGCACCGCGCGGATCCGAGCGGGACTTCCCTGTCTTTTGGGGGGGCTGCGATCTGCGAAACTGTTGCCACTTTCGAAGGCTGCTGGTGGGTCCAGCGGAGTGAGGCACCGCGCAGGCCTGAGCGGGGCCTCGCGGTCCTTGGGGGGGCATGTCATGGTGTTGCTGCCCCGCCGACGTTCCAAGCCCCTTTCCCACCGTCCCTTTTTGGAGCTTGCGTCTTCCTTAGTGACTCAGGGGTTCACTTAGTTATTCATCGTGTTTCCCTTGATTGGGGACCTTCGATTCTTCCGAATGCCGCTCGCAAAGTAGATGCGTCCATGTCACGTCGCCGCCGTCTCGTTAAATCCGCCGACCCCTTGTGGGTCTCTAGGCGTGTGAGATAGTTCCCCCCCCTATAGTCCCCCCCCCGGGACCCCAAACCGGCGATTTGACCCCCCCCCCCCGGGCCCGGGACGAGCGCCCCCCCCGGGCCCGGGACGAGCGCCCCCCCCGGGCCCGGGACGAGCGCCCCCCCCGGGCCCGGGACGAGCGCCGCCGGGGCTTTTCCGGGCCCCAGGAAGCCTCAAGACGGGCCAAGATGGCCCCAAGAGGCCTTCAAGACGGCCCACGGGAGCCCCGAGACGCCAAACGAGCGCTCCAAGACGCCCAAGATGGCTCAAAGACGGGCTAAGAGGCCTCCAAGACGGCCCAAGAGGTCCCCAAGAGGCCCCAAGAGGCCTCCAAGATGCGTCCCACGAGGGTCCCTAGACGCAAAAATTGGCCCATTCCCTTCGTAAAACGTACATTTTTCACGAATTCGCTTTTTGGGCTTTCCGACGCTCCCAGACGGCCCAAGAGGCCCTAAATACCGCCCCAAGACGGTCCAAGCAGCCTCCAGGGAAGCTCCAAGGCAGCCCAAGAGAGCCCCAAGACAGCCCAAGAGGCGCCCAAGATTGCCCAAGAGGGCCCCGAAGACGGCCCCAAGAGCGCTCCAGGAGCGCTTCAAGTGGCCTCCAAGAGAGCTCAATATGGCCACAGACGGTCGAAGAGCGATCAAAGACACCGACGATCGCCTCCAGACGGCCCAAGACGGCCCCAAGAGGCCCCAAGAGGCCTCCAAGATGCGTCCCAGGAGGGCCCCTCGGCGCAAAAATTGGCCCGTTCCCTTCGTGAAAAAGGGGTCGGCGGATGTGGCGTAAGCCTGTAGAATCTCCCAAGCTGCTCCTGCCCCGAAATTGCGCAGGGGTTGGGTACGTCGCCAGGGTAATTATTATTCGAACATGCCTTTGATCTCTTGTCAACCCTCGTCCGTGAAAAACGTCTCAAGACTGAATGAACAGTACTACGTGGGGAGGCGAAGGAGGATAACGAAGAGAGGGCGAGGACGAGGAGCAACAGGAGGTGGCGGAACAGGATGAACAACAAGAACATGAGACAAACGCAGACAGAAGATAAACAAGAGCTCCAATCGTGAGAGAAAGGAGAAGGGAGCAAGAGGAATGCTAGCACTTGGGTAAACAGTTGATGACCAACACTGATCAAGAACTCGTGGCCTCAGAAATCACCATTGCGGAAGCGAGCCCGCCACTGTCGTCGTCGCCGTTCGCTCCCTTCTCCTGGGCCCATCTTGCGCCCCCGGGCACTTCTGGAAGACATCCCGGAAGCTGACGTTGCAATCACGACACGCAACAGGACCGCGGCCAGTGGCCTGTGGCCCGTGGCCTGTGGCCAAAAGCCAGCGGCCTGTGACCAACGTTGCGTTGCGCGACTTGTTGTTACTTCGAGATGCCTGGACGTCCGTGTCTCGGTGGCCTCCCGCCACCTCGCACGGCGCGCGCGCACCCTGGCCGGGCACTCCCCGAGCGCACGCGGCCGGGACAAACGGAGAGCGCCGAGCGAGGCCCACAGGGCAGAGAGGAGAGGCAGACAGGGCGGGGGCGCCGGCGACCTGGGACCGGCCTCGAACCAGCAAACCGATCAACTTTTTTTTCCCCTCGGCAGCGAAAGCACAACAACGCGGGGCCTCTTCAACGCGACCCGGGGGCGTAGAGCCCACCAAACACCTGGGGATGGCCGAGCGTCTGATGCACACAGTGGTGCCAGCCATCTAATCAAAAGCTCCGCTGAAGTGCACTGCCTGCTGAAGTTGATCAAGCTTCTTTGTAAGGAGGGACGCGAGGAGGAGAGGGTACCTGGAAGTGGGCGATGCGCCGCCGATGCAGCGGCCGCAGGCCCCCCGTGGCAAGATCAGCACGCTCCCGGCCAGGGTGGGGCACCCCTTCGTGCCCTGCTCGAGAGCCCCCCCCCATCGGGCCGGACCGCCCGCCGCGTTCCCTCCGCACAGGCCCGTACTCATCCCACTCCGCCCACTCCTCCTCCCCCATCCCTTGCCCACCCGTCTCCTGGTCGCCGTCCTCCTCCTCCTCCTCCTCCTCCTCCTCCTCCTCCTCCTGCTCCTCTTCCTCCTCCTCCTCCTCCTCCACTAATTAGCCTCCCCCGTCTTCCCTCCTTCCTCCTCTCCGCCGCCCCTTCCTCCTCCTCCTCCTCCTCCTCCCCCTCCTCCTCCTCCTCCTCCTCCTCCTCCTCCTCCTCCTCCTCCTGCTCCTCCTCCTCCTCTCCACTCCCTCCCTCGCTCCCTCCCTCGCCCCCCACCCTGTGGCGAGCCATCCCCCGAAGGGGAGAGAGGTCCTTGCCCGAGTGGCCAACTTCCCAAAAAGGGCCCTCGAGGGCTGTGTCGCGGGCGGCCCCTTGGGATGCCGACCAGAGCGCCCGTGTGCGCGATCTTGCTCGTTCCCAGTCTGGAAGGAACAGGGCGGGGATGTGAGGATGGAAGGAACAGGGGGGGGGGCGCCGCACCGCCCGCCGCGTCATCGGCGTCGTCGGCATCGGCGCCGCCCGCGGCTTCTGCCAGGCGGCCCCCCCCTCCGCCTCTCTCCCCCTCCAGTGCCTCGGCCTGGGGTCCTGTGCGCGACTCCCCTGTCGCTAAAGCCTTACCCCATTTCACCGATTTAACTCTTCCTCGTCTGCTTTTCCTCCTCCTCCTCCTCCTCATCTTCCTCTTCCCGTTCCGTGCCGTCTTTCGGACGTCCATTCCCCGTGCATTGTTTGGTTTCCGGCGCGTTGTTTCCACAAGATGGTCCAAGATGTTCCATGAAATTCCAGATGTTCTGGCGCTGGCCACACAGAAACATGGAGATCGTCCAAACGATGCCGAGCCTCATTGGAGGCGACGGGGGTGGTCCGAGCTGGATGGGCCTCGCGAAAATATTTGAAAAGACAAACAGCAAAACCACCCAAAATCTGTCCAGGGTCCACCTTATGAAACCGCTCCCCTTGGATCCGTCTTTGACGGCCACTGGGCCCGAAAACGGCTCCCAAGAGACCGAAAACAAGTACAAGAAATCCTGTCGAATCCAGCTTCGAACCTCTTCCTTCCCCCTTTCTTTTGGGGAAGCGTAAGAGGCGCGTTCGAGGGACTTGGGTTACTCTGACGGGGCCGTCATGAAAATGACAAAACCCAATCTGAAATTTGACGCGAGCTTCCGCTGCAGACGTCCCACGAAAACTGGATCGTCAAAATCCGGTCCGCGCTCGTCAAAAAACGTCGGCAAATCCGAGTTCCGGCGTGCTCGAGCATCACATTTCCACGATATCTTGCTGGCCGGAATCGGTGCTGGGCCGACTCAGACACCCAGCCGGCTCCAAGAACCTCCCCCTTTCCTCCAAGGGACGAGCTGGGCGCCCGACGGGCTCTCCGACTGCGGACGGGAAGGCGCGCAGCTGCCGCGGCGGGGCGTCCTCGTGCGCCTTGTCCTTCGACTTCCCGCTCGTGCTCTGCCCCGTTCGCCGAGACACCGGGTTGCGCGAGCCTTCGTGCCTGGGGTCGCACAACGCCAAGATGAGGATAACATCGGGTGACGATAAATCGGAAATCTCTGAGATCCGGCGGCTGTGGACAATGTCTCGGGCGCCGCCGCCTTCTCAGAGCGTTCCGTCGTCCTAGCACTGTCCGACTGGGTCAGGGAACAACTCCGTGGAAGTCCTCGTATGAACGATCAAGCACGCTTGGGCCCCTGCTGAAGGAACAATCGAACCAGATTCGGCCAGATTCGGCCCGGCACGAAACTGGAGTCAGCTGGGTTGAACGGGAAACGTGGGTGAGCGGGAATATGCTGGACTACGCCCGGTTTTCGACCACAAATTTACCAGCGCCGATACTGGTTTGAATAGCAGAATGGCATCAGAACTTTGGGAGGGCGGGGTAGGCAACCAGGGCTGGGGGAAACTCGGCTCGGGATTCTTCGATGAAAGAACAACACGCGCTCAAACCTGCAAGCAAGAATGCAGACGGGCCAGGCGATGAAGGCGCTATAGGTATGGGTGCAAGTTGTCGTGCCCCGAAGAGGGGGTTCCCCTTCGAGCGGGGACCCCCCTCCGACAACACACACCCATACCCCCCAAAAAGTCCACACCGAGAAACTTGGGTGCCGCCTACGCATGGGTGCCAGTAGCAAGCTCACTATTATCTTGCACAGGGTGTCTAGAACTCCGACCACTTTATCCCGCGTCGCGACGCACACCCACCTCCCCCTCCTCACGCACCACATCACCACCTCCCCTCCCCCAGTGGGGACCCCGCCCACTGCCCCCTCCGCCACGAACGCTGCATTCCGCGTCGCGACGCACACCACCTCCCCTCCGTTTCCCCCCGCGTCCCCAGCGCCCCAGGTCGACCCCCCGCCCAGTGCCCCCTCCGCCCCGACAACTGTATCCCGCGTCGCGACGCACACCACCGCCCCCACCCCTCCCCCCGCGTCCCCAGCGCCAGAGTGGGACCCCCGCCCCGTGGCTCTCTGCCCCGAGCCCCCCCGCGTCCCCAGCGCCCCAAAGGGGACCCCGCCCACTGCCCCCTCCGCCACGAACGCTGTATTCCGCGTCGCGACGCACACCACCTTCCACACCTCCCTTCCCGCGTCCCCGCCGCCCCAATGGGAGCTCCGCCCGGTGCCGCCTCCGCCCCGACAGTTTATCCCGCGTCGCGACGCACGCCACCTCCCCCCCTCCCCCCAACGTCCCAGCGCCCCAGTGGGCCCCGACCCCCCCCCCCCTCCGCGTCCCCAGCGCCAGAGTGGGACCCCCGCCCCGTGGCTCTCTGCTCCGAGCCCCCCGCGTCCCCAGCGCCCCAAAGGGGACCCCGCCCACTGCCCCCTCCGCCACGAAAGCTGTATTCCGCATCGCGACGCACACCACCTCACCCACCTCCCTCCCCGTGTCCCCTGCGCCCCAGTCGGGGCTCCGCTCCGTGTCCCCTCCGCCCCGGCAACTTCATTCCGCGTCGCGACGCGCGCCACCTCCCCCCCGCCCCCCCCCGCCCCCGACCCCATTCCTGTGGCCCTGTGCCCAAACCCCGCCCAATGCACCCTCCGCGTAGACCATTTTAATTCGCGTCGCGACGCACACCACCTCCCCTCCCCCCCCCCGCGCCCCAGCGCCCCGGTAGGAACCCAGCCCAATCACCCCGAGCCCCCCCGCGTCCCCAGCGCTCCTGTAGGAGCCCCGCCCACAGCCCTCTCCGCCACGAACGTTTTCTTCCGCGTCGCGACGCACGCCACCTCCCCCACCTCACCCCCGCGCCCCCAGCGCCCCAGTCGGCCCGAGCCCAGCCCACTGCCCCCTCCGCCTCGACAACAACTTTATTCCGCGTCGCGACGCACACCACCTCCCCCCCCGCCGCGCCCCCAGCGCCCCAGTGGAACCCCGGCCCCGTGGCCCCGAGCCGCCCCGCGTCCCCAGCGCCCCAGTGGGACTCCGCCCCGTGCCCCCTCCGCCCCGAGCATCCTATTGCGCGTCGCGACGGGCGCCGCCTCCCCGCCTCCCCCCCGCGTCCTCAACGCCCCAGTGGGCGCCCGCCCCGTGCCTCTCCGCCCCGGCCACTTTTTTCCGCGTCGCGACGCACGCCACCTCCCCCCGTCCCCCCCGCGCCCCCTGCGCCCCGCTGTCCGCGGCGACGCTGACTGCGGGTCCTGTTCAGAACCAACATGAACTGCTGTCGGTTTTGGTGCACACACTTTCCGTACCCATATCGATATCCCCGATCCTCGGCACAGCCCCAATGCGAGTCGCAGACCGCGTCAGGCCAGGTCTGGCCTGCCTGGGGGGGGGGGGGCGTTGCGCCGAAGACGCGGAGCATCCTCGGCACAAAAACCTGCCCAAAAATCGTTCCCCCCCTCCCTCCCTCCCTCCCTCCCTCCCTCCCTCCCTCCCTCCCTCCCGCTGGGGAGGGGGGGCTAATGCCGAAGATGGTGAGCATCCTCGGCGCAGCCCTGGCGCGAGTGGAGGGCCGCGCCAGGCCGTGGCGGCGCGCGCACAGAGTGAGAGAGAGCAAGAGAGGGGGGGAGCGAGAGAAAGAGAGAGAGAGAGAGAGAGAGAGAGAGAGCAGGGCCTCCTCTCGGGCCGGGCGAAAGGGGGGGATTGGGAAAGGGGGGGTTACGAAATTTGCTGCATGCAGCTGGTTTCGGCCTCACCGAGGGGCCCATTCCTCGATACATGGCCGCCTCCGGCGCTGGGAGGCGCCGGGAAAATCAGCTACGTGAGCTGATTCTCAAACCCTCCCTTTGCTATCCCCCCCTTTCGCCCGACCCGATCCTCTCTCTGGGTGCTCCCAGGGTCCTGCGCGTGAGCCTCCCCGATGCCAGCATCTCGAGGACGGAGGCACGGCAGAAGTCCGAGATTTCGACGGCCCGCGCGTTCCTGCACCAGCGCTGGGCTCCCCCCCCTGGCGCGAGCAGCGGAATGCGCAAGGGGCGGCCCTGGAGGCGCCGCCAGGGGGCCCAGCGCAGATCCAAGAACTCCGCGCGGACCTTCCGAAATACTCTGGAAATACATGTTTACGTAGCTCTTCTGTTTTCGGAGATGCGAGCGCAGTCTTTCCGCCTGCGGGTAATTGTCTTCGCAACACCTGCGCGCCATTGTTCGCACTCCGTCGCAGAGGGCGCGCCGGGCCATGCCCGGCCCAAGCCCGACCGACCCACGAGACTCGGAAGCTGGGCGAGGGCTGCGAAAACCGTGGCTGCTAAAAAAACCCTCCCGGAAGGAAAACACAACTTCCCGGAATGAGGCGCGGCACCCGAAACAGTCAACGGGCTTCTTCCCGGAAGGACGAAGACAACTTCCCGGAGGTCGACGTTAGCAGCCACGGATTTTGCAGCCCTTGCCCGGCTTCCGAGAGACCCCCATCCCCCCAAGGAGCCCCAGGAGGCTACACGCGGCGCCCCAGAGGCCCCCAAGCGGCCCTCCCAGAGACCCGTGCGCACGGCGGCGGGGTGGCCCGCAGGCCGCCTCCACTGAGCAGGCCGCCTCCTCAACCTCTTGCCCACCCGCCGCCCCCGGTCGGCAAGCGCACGCGCCGGCGGGGGGCGCGCTTGATCAGCAGGTGGTAGGCACTCACCTGCCGCTGCCGACGGGTCGCGCGCGCGCGCTCCGCGGCGCCGGCGGGCGACGCGCTGCAGCTCGACGGCCGCATCCCGGGGGTGGGCCCTCTGCGTCGTCACCGGAGGCACCCGGGAACGCTGCTGTGAAAGTGCTGCCACGAAGAACGCGGCGAAACGAGCGCCTCTGCACTGTCCTGTGCGTGAGCGACGAAGAGAAACGAGGTTCACGCACGATGGCATCGCGTCCTGACGCCGCGGCTCGCGCGGGCCGCCGGCGTGGCGCGCCGCGTGGAGAGGAGAGCGCTCGCGCGCGCTAACGTCCGCGTAGTCGACCACGTGTCTTCCGTCGCTCACGTGAGCTCCTCGGTGGCTCGCACAGTGGAGCGGCGCGAGCGGGGTGGCCGTCTAAGAAACACCCGCGCCCCCCTCGCGCTATGCCCCCGTGCGCGCCGTCCTCGAAACTGTACCAGACGGACCGCTGCGAAAGCAACGGAGCCGCTTCGTTTCCGCATGATGTCTGGCGGTGCGCTCAAAAGGGACGACGCGAGGGCAGGGTGGCCTTCTAAGACGCACCCGCGCCCCCCCCACACCGCGCTTTCGGCCGCCGCTGGCAGTGTACCATCTCAGCGGCACCAACGGGGACACGACAAACACACAAGGAACTGCCGAGCCTCTTCCATACACCTCATGGACATTACCGACGATACCCACTGTATACTATGCACCTCTTTTGCTGCACTTCGTGGAATAACCCCCTCGCCACTGAGCAACTGTGCCTGGCTACCGCCCGACTCCTGCCCGACCTCTCCTCCCAACTGGCGACTTGGCCCAGGGTATGACATACAAGCGTGAGATCCCCGCTGGGAGGAGGGTTCGGCAAACCTTGGAAGCACTCCTGCTATCTTCGGCAACATCTTCATCAGAACAGTTCAATGCGTGGCACATGGTGCGCGATAAGACGAGAACTATGCACGGTACTTCGGAACCCGCCCTTTACCGTTCGGAACGTCGGCAACGATTCCTGCGCCGAGAGTTGACATTCCGAGCACTGGGCAGCGCCCCTTAGGCTCTCGTCATGCGAGTCCCTTGTGTCTGCCCCCGTTGAGACTCGATGCTTCCTCGTGCTGGGCGCCTTCGGACCCAGACCCCCGACGTCATGATTTTTTCATGACGCGACCCCCAGAGGTCTGGACCCATTCGCCAGGACCGGTTTTCCGTCCTGAGTCGTTTTTTGACGCTCCCGAGGCCCGGCGAGGGCCCCCCGAGGCCGAAAATAGCCGAAAACCTCCCGTCGTATTTTTTCACGACGCCAGGAGGTCTGGGGAGTGCCCTTCCGATTCCCATCATGACCGCTGCACCCGCGCCATGGAGAGCCACTGCACGGCTCCCTCCCCAGACGGGCCCCAACCCCGGGGCGAGCCTTGGACATGGCTTCCCGACCTCAAGCAGGCAGGAACCACCACTCTGCCGCCTCGAGCCAAGCTGCGAGGACGACGCGCCGGACGAGAGAGAGAGAGAGAGAGAGATTTTACCCGTGGGGGGGTCGATGAGGGGCCTCCAAATCCGTCGAGGCGCTCGCGGAAGGCACGGCAGCCAACGCCCGCCCGACAGGGAGCACGAGAGCACCGCCTCAAGACCAGTTCTCCCTGGGGGGGGGGGGCGGATCGGCGGCCCGGTGCTGGTCTTGACTGTTCGGAGGACGCAACAAGGTGAGGCAAGGGGGCAAAGGTGGGGGTCAAGAGAAGCTCGTCCCGACACGGCCCCACATCATTAGATGGCACCGCATCGGTTGCGCCAAGCACAGATTGCACAGCGAGAGTGCGAGGACCCACTGTTTGGGGCCCACTCTGGCGAATGCCGTCTTGGGTATCTCGAAGATCAGTCCTGCCGCATACAGCTATCACGTGTTACAGCCTCTTAGATGTTGGCGCCCTCTGGAGCCTGGTGACGAGAGATGTCTGCAGTCGTCTGGGTCGCTCTTCAAAGAATGCTGCGCTGGCACAGGGGCGACCTTGCCACAAACATCTGGAGGACCTCGTGTCGCCGCTACCACTGGAATCCTGTAATCAGGGTGGCGTAACAATGCATTGCGACGGGTCAACGGGATTTCGCGCTGAAAGGGACTGCACCAACGCGCGAAGCTAACTGGTGAATACAGCCATAATGCCGTGACTTGGGAGCAAATATTTGAAGTGGAGGCCTTACACATCTGGCCAGAACAGCTGTGGACCGAATACCGTATGGCATCGCCGATGCATCGGCGATTTCGGCGATGTCCCATGCAGAACCCCCAGACGAATGCTGCGTTTGAGGGAAACTTCGGATGGGATACAACTGTCCAGATTGTAACTGCGGGGTCCGGGAACCCCGAGGAATAGCCCCGCTTGGCTTGAAACCAAAGGGCCCGCCCGTTCTCTTCAGGCATCGATATCAAGGCCGGCTGAAGGGCTACAAATAATCCAATCCAACACATCAATTCTGTTTTGTACTGCCGCCTGCCCTTCTGCGGCCATGCGTGACAATGCTCAGCCGCTCAATGCAGGGAGCAGAGAGGCGCGAACGGTTTTGCAGCCGACCTGCTCCAGCCGCTGCTACAACCGTGCCCCCCCTCGTGCGGCCACCCCCACGAAGCGGCAGAGAGGCGTGCGTCCCATCGAACAGCGCGCCTACCGCCAGAGCAGCGGCGCCGACGCCGGCGAAGACAACGCGGCCTCTACAGTCGCCACGGCTGCACGCCCGAAGGCTGCTCTGCGCTGCTGTGCCCCAGGCTGCCCTCCACGAGCCCCCTCCCCCCTGCGCCCGCGCGGGAAAAGGAAGGAGGAGGAGCAGGGCGGGGGAAGAGCAGCCTGCCTCGGGCCCCTCTTCCCACCACGCGCTCCCGTGGAGGGGGAGAACTCTGAGTCCGGGTGGGTAGGAATCGGCTGCCGGTCTGCTAGACTTCGTCATGTGCGCGACGATCAAACACGGGTCTTGCGCGACGCGACACAGCGCCCCTACGCGGCAGCTTACGCGGGCCGCCAGCGCGGCACGCCACACTTGAGACGAGGGCGCTGACACGCGCGACATTCCGCGAGCAGCTTGCGCGCCCATGTCGGCGCGGGCGACCCCGTTCTTGCTGCTTCGCTCGTGTGGGCAGATGGACAGCCAAATAAGGGGACGCAGATGAGGGAGGAGGAGGAGGAGGAGGAGGAGGAGGAGGAGGAGAAGGAGGAGGAGGAGGAGGAGGGGGAGGGGGACAAGCTAGGTGCGCTCGCGTCATATCTGACGTCCTACCCCTCCCACCCATCCCTTACCATGGCGCTGATTTTCTCTATCCGCGGACGCGTGTCGTAGCGGACCTGTGGCTCCGCGCGCGCGTGCGCGTAGTGGGTGGTGGTGCACGTGCGTGCGTGCGTGGTGTGTGCGTGGTTGTCGTGGTGGTGGTGGGTGGTGGTAGTGGTGGTGGTGGTGGTGGTGGTGGTGATGGTGGTGGTGGTGCTGGTGGTGGTGCTGGTGGTGGTGCTGGTGGTGGTTGTGGTGGTGGTGGTGTGGTGGTGGTGTGGTGGTGGTGGTGGTGCGGCGCGGTGGTGGCGGGCGGATGGGCGCGCGAGAAAGAGGCCCGCGCTGGGGCGAGAACGCCATCCTGAACGACGGAGGCCAAACACCGATCCGAAAATGAGGCCCACGCTGCAGCGGGAGCACGATTCGGAACGATTCGGGAGCAGAAATGAGGCCGGCGCCTCAACGAGAGCAGCATTTTGGGAAAAAATGACGCCGGCGCCTCAGCGAGAGTCGTTTCCCGGGATTTCCCGGGCATCCTGTGTGTAAAAAAACAGTACGCGGAGGGTGCGCGGCCATCACCCGGACGCCATCAGGGGAAGAGGGAGAGTATTTTCAGATTGAATAATTGTGGAGGGGGAGGGGGGGGGGAGGGGGAGGGGGAGGAGGGGAGGAGGAGGAGGAGGAGGAGGAGGAGAGGAGGAGGGGGGGCCTGGACCTCTCGGCACCGCCGTCCTGGGGACAGACGCTTCCTCCCGTGGGTCGCTCTCTGCTGGCCCCGAGGCCCGGACACCGCCCCCCCGAGGCCCGAGCTGCGGAGCCACGTCTGGCGCTGGTGTATCGTCGTGACGCCAGGCGGCTGGCCGACGGGCGAATCGCGACGATGTTCGAGTGGGACGGCGAGAGGGGGCGCAAAATCATGCACCATCGGAACTGGGCCACGTGGGCACGGCATCGAAATCGCGGGCGCAGTCCCGACCGAGGGCAGCGTCGTGCAAGCAGGCCAGAGGACACATGGCGCAGCAAGTCAGAGATATCGAAGATTTACAGAACGCCCCTTAGCAAAACGCCTTCAGCTTTAGTGACAGCTGTCAGGGGTACTCCACGTGACCACGGCACCGCCTTCCGAATAGACTCCAGCAGGGTGGCCAATCGGCATCCAAAAAGAGCCGAATGTATCCTGCGAGACGCACGCCGATTAGCGAAACCGACGGGGGACCGTTCTGGCACACTCGAATGCTAGTGTCGAATGACTCGGTGCAAATTTCCTCAGTGGGCGTTCTCTCGGCACCCGAGGAGAACGCACCCGCGGTTTGACTCTGCAAGTCGATCACCGATCGCGACCTCGGGAAGGAAAAGGATGGGAGCAGCAAACCAACGGCCAGCCAAGACGCCGCCGACGGGGTCGCGTCACGCCCTGGGCAACAGAGTTAGAACGGGCATGTCCTCCTACAGTCGGATTATGGAGGAATTTCAACAATCAAATACGACTCAAAAATAACCCCAAAACGTAATCGAAAGTATTTCTAATTCGCGCGCGCGGGGCGGCCCCTGGGGGTCCCCGGACGAAAAGTACCCGGGCAAGGTCCCGGCAAGTCCCCGGCAAGGTCGGGTCAGAGATGCCGGAGTTCTGTTTCGGAGTCCAAGAGGGCTCCAGATCGGTCCAAGAGGGCCCCGAGAAGCTTTCTAGACGGTCCAAGAGAGGCCCGAGACAGCCAAAGATCGCCCGAAGACGCCCCAGATGGCCCCAAGACAGCCCAAGAGGCCTCCAAGACGCTCCAGGGGCCTTCCAAGAGGCCTCCGAAGAGGGCCCCAAGTTGCCAAAATCGTTGATTTTCATTTGTTTTTTCTATGTTTTTTTGCGTTCTGGCCTTTTCGCTTCCGGACGCTCCAAGAGGGCCCAAGAGGCCTTCAAGACTGCTCCAAGACGGCCCACGAGGCTCCCAAGACGGCCCCGGAGCGGCCCAAGAGCGCCCCCCAGACGGCCCAAGTGCTGCCCAAGGCGGACCAAGAGGCCCCAAGACGGGCCCAAGAGGGGCTCAAGAAGGGAACCGAGAACTGAAAAATCGAGCCCTCCGCCCCAGAAGGCGCCCAGGACCCCGAAAGAGGCCCCAAGAGACTCTCCAAGACACCCCCAAGACGCCCCAATAAGCTCCCGTGAGGCCCCAAGAGGACCAACAACGTCAGGCCCCAGGCCCCAAGAGGACCAACAAATACCGCCAAGAGCCCGCCGAAAGCCCCCCAAGAGACCGTCACGAGAGCTCAGGAGGCCCCCTGGAGGCCTCCCGAGTTCTCCAAGAGGCCTAAAAAGAGGCGCCAAGAGGCCCCAAACGGCCCCACCGAGGCTCCAAGAGGCCACGAACGCGCAAACAAACGCCTGCGATGGCACAATACGGGCCGGCGGAATGAGCGAAGCGATTAAATAACCCCAAAACGTAATCGAAATCGTCCCCAAACTAATTGTTGCTTATTTTTGAATAGTCCTCCTGTAGAGGGATAGGCCCGACGTAACACCAGAACCGACCCCTCGGGGTGTTCCTCGGGTGCGCTCGGGCCACGACCCCGGGGAGGATCCGGCTATGGCAACGAGGGACCTGCGTGTAGGAGGTCAGAAGCGTCGCTCCTTGAACCCCTCGATCCTCACCTCGTCGGGTATTCGGCCATGGCAACGAGGGACCTGCCTGCAGGAGGACCAGGGAAGGCTCAGATGCGTCGATCCAAGAACCTAGGTCGGGCATGTCGTCCTTCAGGGGGATGTTGGGCGAACAATAACACAAAAATGAAAACATATTTCGAAATAGACAAAACTACTAGAGATCCCAGACTATATTTTGACTGTTTTTGAATACTCCTCCTGTAGAGGGACACGCCCGACTCAACCCTGGATCCCTCGATGTTCACCTTGTCGGCGCGCCCGAGCGGCGGAGGGCGGAGCGGGCGAGCCTTCTCAGAAGGCCCACGAGGTCCCTGGCCTCAGGTCGGCCGTGTCCTCCTACAGGTTGGTGTTGCACGACACATGAAAAAAAACAAGCAAAACATGCTAGAACATTTGGTTCCCATACTGTTTTGCAGCTGCTTGAACTAACCATACTATTCTGTTCCCGAGCTAAAAATCGCCCCCATACGATGTGTTTGACAATCTTTGCATGTGCCTCCTGTAGAGGGACATGCCCGACTCAACCCTGGCCCTTCGAGAAGCTTCCTGAGCCCTCTACGAAGCCACAAG